CCCTAAACCCTAAACTAAACCCTCCCCCTCGCTAAGGCTCCATGCAGCACCCACGATCCAGAGGTCGTCGACCAGCTTCTCCCGGGCCCCTCGGCCCTGCGACGGAGTCGATTTCAGGCTTTACGGGGTTTAGGGCGCATAATGTACCCAGAGACTCCAATATCCCNNAATCATATTAGGTATCCTATTATAATTTAAGGTATATTCCTTAATTAAGGGGTTTTGGGGTCTCTGGGTACGGCTTAAGGTGGTTGGGTTTGAGGTCTAGAGTGGTGTTAAGCTTCGTTTATGGGTCTTATGCGGTCCAAGGGCGCTTCAGAGTTCACTGTTTGGCTCTGGGATTTAAAGTTTCCGAGATGTGTGGTTCAGGACTTTGGATAACACGCTAAATCGCAAATCCTAAACCCTTACCCGTACGCTAAACCCTTAACCCCTAAACCTCAAGTTGAACTTTAGCCCTGAGCCCAAAACCGTAACAAAAGGAGCCCCTTTTTAATGCTGGACCCCCCCTTCCTTACTTGCCCAGCATCATAGGGGAACTTTTTACTAAAGGTTACCCTAACCATTCCAGTGATGCAGGAAACATAATACCCTGAGCCCGGTCCATGGGTTACCTTCAGGCTCCTAAAAATAAGAATTGGTCATACATCGGGACTACAATGAAGACTATAGTTACTGTTTAACTTTCCTAAACATACAGTTGGTTAGACTACCAAAAACTGGGACTGCAATATGGGTAGTTGTCTAAATTAGGATCGCTTTTAGGGTGCTTTTTATAAAGGTGCCGTACTATATTGAGGACCTGAGAAGGGACCCTAATTTAGAGAACTGCCCATCTGCAGACTACAGGTATACTGACCCTAAACCCTAAACCCCTATACCCGAAAACCCTAAACCCTTAACTCTAAATCCCTAAACCCTATACTAATATGCTTACCGGGGTCGTGAGGCTGACATGGCCTGTGGGCGCGTGGTGAAGCAGATGCCGCCGAAGGGCCATAGTAGCACCTGTGGGGTCTCTGGTGTGTAGGGTTTAGGGTTTAGGGTTTAGGGTTTAGGGTTTAGGGTTTAGGGTCTAGGGTCTAGGGTTTAGGGTTTAGGGTTTAGGGTTTAGGGTTTAGGGTGTGTAGGGCACCGGGGAATTCCCAAGGTTTTTTGGGGGGTTTAAAGGTGCCGAAGAGTCTTGGCTTCCCGAAATCGCAGACCCCAAACCCTACCAGAACCTCACAACACCCTACTTTTTTTTAATAGGGTCCCGATCCCTTACCATCAAGGCACTCACATTTTAAGGCTTTTGGGCTCAAAGACTCTATGCTAAAAGGCTTTTGGGCTATTTTGATGCTAAGGGTATCAATCCCAAGTTAGAGATATAATAACAATTAAGAACCTACAAAGCAGAAGGTCATGGTAGTATAAGGTCGACCCCAACCTGCCTGTGCTATAGTTCCTCCACACCGTCGCGCCATGGTGCCATGACCTCGGGGCTTCCCCCTTTAAAGGGGTTGGGCCCGTGATGTTCTGAGTTCGAACGGCAAAGGTATCGAGCGTAAGGTTTAGGGGTTTGTTAGGGTTCAGGGCTTAGGGTTTAGGGTATCCTCGATGATGAATATTTCTGAATTGTTAGAGGGTTTTTGTTCAGGGGTTTGTCAGGGTTTCGAAAGGTAGATTCCCACAGTATCTCCGTGATGCAGGGGACACACACAAAAGTTGTGAAAGGTGCTTCTTCGCAAGTTGCATTCGAACCCTGACAGAACACCGGCAACCCTATCTAAGAAATCCGAACCTTTGAAAACCCTCATAAAATCATTATAGCTTGAATTCAACATCCTCCTAACACCCTGAGAGCTTGTAAACACAAGTCCATAGAAAACCTGACAAACCCTTAACCCTAAACCCTATAAAACCTGAAAG